TGAAAGAACGTCCCAATAGTTGTCGATGCCAACGAGTATGTCTGGCAGTATTGGGTAGGGTGTACCTCTACCACACCTGTCATTTCTGAGGTTTCGTGACCTCCAAAGGTGATGAAGGTGCGCTCTTTTTGGTTGTGGATTGGTAGTCCTAGACGGCGTGCAGTGTGGGTTGTTATGAAACTATTTTGTGCTCCTGAGTCTAGGAACAACCACTTTTTCAAGTTTTGATGCGTCATGGTTGAATGCTCTTGCGTTGACCAGCATTAATGACGCATTGGACATTGCGTGATTGATCCTGCGTGCTTGATAGCAGTGATTGAGCTGTTCTAGCTCTACGTCCGATTCTTGTGCCTGATGTTGAAAGGCAGTAGGATGTGGGGAAGAAAAGCGTTGACCGGACTGCCTGTCCCTCACGGGGCTGTGGGACACGTGCTCTGTAGGCGGTGAATGGTATGTTACTCCGACTAGAGAAGCGAGTGTAGCGCCTTGTTGGAGAGTGAGCCCTTGGAGTATAGTCGCGACGACGATTCACTCTCGGTGGAGATCGAGAGCGCTCACTGTCGGTGTAGCTCCTGCTTCTGTATCTTTCCTGTGAGGGACTTCTAGATGAATATCTGTCCCGTGATGGTGAACGATAGTTGCCCCTGTTGCGTTCGTAGTCGTACCGCCGTCGTGCTGACGGGGACTACGGCGCTGCCTTTCACTGCGTGACTGATGCCTGCACAAGAGTTCGTGGTGTTCTCCTGAGCAGCGTCTGCAAGCTGGGTACCGGCAATTGCGACGTGAGTGTCCTTGGCTCAGACATCTCCAACAAAGATTGAATACTTTGGCGATATTGGTGCGCGCTTCAGCTGGTATATTGACTGTGCAGTCGCGTGTTTTATGCGTGCGCGCTCCACAAAATGCACAGCAGTTCAGTTCGCGTGATGGTGACTGTGACCGGGATCTCGGGCGTTGAGTACAGCTACTTGTGTTGTTTACTGAGTAACTGTCTTTCAATGCCGTAGTGTCCTCATACTTCTCCTTCGAGGCAATGATGTTGTCTAGATGATGCATGATTTGATGTAGTCGAAATCTGCACCTGACTGGATCTAGATCGTGTAGCTTCTGCTGTACTTCCGAAGGGAATTTGCTTCTTACGAGATCGAGTATCGGTAGCACTGTGCGAAAATCCTCGAATTTGCGAAGACCTCGAAGAATGCCCGACAGGCGAAACCATGTGTTGCGTAAATCTGTTCCCGTATTACCGGCTGGCGGTAGCTGTTGTAATTGTTTATGGAGTGTTGCACGAGTTTTGTGAGGCCGGTCGTACCTTTTTTTGAGTGCGCATACTAGCTCGTAATAGTTGCACTCATCTGGGTCCATGTCTTGCAACACAATTTGCGCTTCCCCTTTAAGCAAGCTTTGCAGGTAGAGGAACTTGTAAGTTGCGCTGATTGAGGAATCATTGTGGACTGCGACTTCGAATGCGCGCCAAAAACGCTGAAACTGCGTGATATCTCCTGTAAAGGGTTCGAGGGTTAATTTGCCCAACTGAATCGTTGGTTGGCCTGCTGCGTGCTGATTACCTAATAAGGCATAGTGGGTGTCTGCTGCGTTATAACTTGGGATGTCCCTCGAAGTCATTTGGGGATAGTGCGGCTGTGTCCTTTCATAGTCCCCAATTTGAGGAGTTGCCTCCACTTCCAGTTCGTGTTGGCTTCGATCGTGTTCTTGTTGTTGATTGGGTGCGATTGTTGACCGCAATCTTTCAAGGCGTGCGCAAGCCTCTTCTAGATTAGTATGGAGTACGTGTATAAGGTTGTCGGCAGCAACAGTTGCGTCCTCGATTTTGGACTGTTGCATGTAGTCCATGTACGCTGCGTTGTCGTTTTCTGGATCAGTAGATTTGTTTATGAAATCTAGAAATGCTTGATGTCTTTCTCGTACCGTGCGTAACGCTGCGCGCATGTTCGACAAGTGTGTCCGTATGGCATCTTGACGTTCGTCAAGACGCTGGAGCTCGTCTGCGGGCGGTATTGTTTTACTGTTAAATGGGTCGATAAGATTCTGCGGAATCTTACCTTTGGTTGCTTCAAGCGCTGAATGCGCTTTTGTTAAGTTGGCCTTACATACACTGATAGTCGACATGAATAGTCGCTGAGGCAGGAGGTGGTAACTGCCTAACCCAAATCTAAAAAGGGAGAGTGAGTATGTGTCATTCCGTGAGGCGGCTCCGGCCATGAGCCCCTCGCGGCTGAACGGTATTTGCGGATAAGCGACGTTGGCCTTACGATAATAATCACAACGAAAGGAGGTGTGATATAGTTCAAAATGACAAGTAGGCTGTTATGGATTTTACATGTGCTTTGCACAACTTGGTGTTAGTGTTCCGGTGTTATATTCTGCCCTGACGATTGCGAAGAACTTTGTGGGTGGTTCTCGAGTCCACACGGACGCCACGCTCCGAAGAGACAGTCTGTATCTATGCAAAGTTACGAGCGGTGCCACTGGGCAGTCTAGCCTAGCTAGCTGCTTCGGACCGTCACTAACCAGATTACATGAGGGTGGTTCCTCCCTTCCTCGGGTTCCCTCCATGCAATTTTTGCCTGGCGTTACCCGCAGTGCCCGATCGTACTACTTTCCCATGTTACAGAGGGCAGACCTTTCCGTTCCCTAGCCGCGGCTGCCACGTGCGTTGTATGGCTACTAGTGCCACTCTAGCGTCAAACACCCGTACGGGCACTAGGGTGGTGAAGGTATGACCTAATTGTTACTTCGTGCGTGTGCGTTCCGTGGGTGCTCGGACCTAACCGAACAGATCCATGTGCGAGCCAGGGAGGGGGGGGGTTATGGGTGCTAGAAGGTTCGATCGCTAAGGCTGGACACGCGTTGCCGCGTGTCCAACCCCAACCCGATGCACCATGTTTTGCCGGGTGCCCGTCTCAGCGGCCTGATATGGCTTCCCTGAATGAATGCCCCGTCAAAGATGTTGCGTGCTACTACGACCTTCAAAGACATGTCCTAACTCTCACCTGCCAGTCCACGGACGCGGTCCTATCGTATACGAGACCCCTTCTTTCCTGGGTTTCAAGCCTTGCTACCTTGCATACACTCGTGATCTCGACTGACAATAAATTTCCCGTTACTACGATATTGTTAGTAGCTAGATTCAATTGAAATCATAGTAAGGGGTAGCAAAATGCAGATGAAAATATAAATAACATTGATAACAGCAAAGAGGTAAATTGCGGTCTAAACCGTATTGCTGAACATTGCTACAACAAAAAACTGAACATTGCTACG